AAGAAATCAGGCTTTCTATTTGACATAACGTTGAAGGAAGATGTGGTCAAACGTGTGCAAGGAAGGAGGTTCCGGTTTTAACCTCCCTTTTTGGATTTGAAAATGGAGACCCCCTTCGAGCGATTTTGACTAGTTTACACTAGATAGAATCGATTTTCAAAAGTGAGGACCTTCTTTTTAGGACCTTCTTTTTCCGACATCCATTCAAAAAATTTCTGACCCCCATCTGCCAAACAAATTTTCACCCCCTTCTAGGATTTTTGACCTTGCACACGTCTGAATGTGGTACGAAAATACCCACCTTGAGTGTTACTTGTAACTTGAATGATTTCTCGCATAAATGACAGTTGAATATCGTACCACTATGATTCCTTCGTATATGTTCGTCTAAAGCAACCGAATTGGGGCAAACCTTATCACATTGATTGCATTTTTGTGGATCTGGATTATGTTTCATTTTATGTGTTTTCAAAACACTCTTGCTCGCATACCAACCATTGCATATATCACACTGGAATTTTGGATTTGTTTTTGGGGCAACATCTAGATGTTTCGCCTGATGGAGTTTCAGTTCCGCTTTTGTTTTGAATTTCTTGAACGATAAAATATTAAAACCGATTAGAACCGTTGATTTGCACTCTTCAGACTGATTTGAATTCGTCTCACCTTTGCACAGAACTCACAAATCTGATCGTGCTTTAGATCGTGTCTTTTACGATGGATATTTAGATGATTTTGGCTAGGGAATCTATTTGGGATCATAACCAATTTTTCTCATGATTTCATCCATGATAATCTCACTCTCTATGTACTCACCCTTTGTCGCATACATCACAAATAAAATTGCGTTGTTTTTCACGATTACGATTTTTGTGTTTTTCCAAATGGGTTTTCAATAGATGTCTACGTGGAAAAGACTTTTTACAAGTGTGGCAATAATACTTATTTGAATGCCAATCATTGTGTTGTTTTAAAATGTATCGGTTCGGAAGCGATTTGTTACAAACATCACATCTGTTTTGGATCATATAGGGAACAATAAATTATTCAAATTGCCGGAGTTTTGGTTAAATTATGGAAAACTCAAATAAATTGCAGAGATGTTTTGAAATTACCTAAAAATATCCGGGTTTGTGTGCCATGCAATGTGATCTCTGAAATAAGCTAATGTAAAGAACTTCTTCTGGCAGCATGACACCGTCCCAACTGATTTGTGAACGTCCAAATAATGTGATTGCATTTCTTTGACCGTGGTAAACGTTTTTACTGGACACAGATCGCACGAAGCATCGACATAGTCCGGTATCTCTATGTCATTTCCATTGTTTTCATCAGAATTAGTTTCAACCGATAAAGAATTCGCTTGTATTTCTGGATGTATGAGTTCCATATGCTTTCTACATTCCGAGATGTTCGGAAAGTATCGGTCACAAAGATCGCAAGAGAATTGCTTTGTTGATAAAGCAATATGTTTTTTCACGTGAAAGATGAGGGTATATCGATGCTTGTGTTGTAGCTTACATACTCGACATCTGAAAAATTCAGAAGAAAAAAAAACTCGGTATAGTGTTCATCAACTGAAATAAATAAAAAAAGCGTATCCATTGTTTTATTATTATGTGTTTGAATTCAACCTGAAAGCGTCTGGATCGATGTGCCATTGAATGTGATCCAAAACTTGTGTATTAGTGCGTAATTTAATGCCGCAACACTTCATGTGAGCATTGTGAATATTGTGTTCCGATGAATAATGTGATTTTGCTATTTTCAATGTTTCAAGCACAGTATCACAGAGACTACATTTCCGTTCGAAATATTCCTCCATAATTCTTTTGACTTGTACTCCGCTTATATTAAACTCCATACATTTTATTTCTTCTATATAATCTACAATGAAATTAATACCGAGAATGATTACAAAACAGTTTAACGTCAAATATCAACTTGTACCAACAAAATTATTGACCTTCTAAACCGTCCGAATGACTCACTTCCAGGTGAATTTCCAAATGCTTTTGAGTCTTGAAACTTTGAAGAAAAACTAAGATTATGACATCATTTTATTGAAATATATAGCATTGATTTACCTCTGATCGCATTGATCGCATGGGAATTTCACTTTAGTTGCATGTGCCGTAAGAATATGACGTTCCAAGGATGTAAATACAGTGAATACCTTCTGGCATATGTCACATGTGAATTGGTTGAAATGTTTGAGTTTGTGTTTTCGATAAGATTGGTAAGTTTTCTTGACTTCTCCACAAACCTGGCATCTGTTTTGTTTAAATAATACATTTTTTATCAGAGAAATGCTTGTGTTTTTTGTTAAAGACTAACCAATTTTTCTTCTACTAGTAAGGAAATCTAATGTTTGTGTTCACTCACTTGAACAATTCAGGATTCAAATGCCACACAATATGGACATTCAAGTGAGAACTCTGTAACCATTTCAGTGAGCAACATTTCACATAGCCTTTGGGCTGATTGTTATGCGTCACTCTATAGTGATGGGTGGCTTCTTGGAATGTTGCAAAAGTGACATCACAGAAATCGCAACTCATGTCGCAGTATTGGCTGATTATTTGCTGTTGTTGTTCGGGGCTCACTTCACTGATGTGCCGTGGAAGTCGAGTGCCTTCGCCACTCTCTGGCAACTCATTGCGATTGATCAGTTCATCGTAAACTTCACTCTCATCATCGTCCTCATTACCATCTGAGAATCCCTGTTCATTCCCTGACCCATAATGAAGTTTGCTTTCTTCTAATTCCATTTTCTCATCTCCTTTTTCCATAATCACTTTGATAGGCCTCAATGGGTCAACACAAACCATTTCCTGATGGAATTCTGGCTCAACATTTGAAACCGTGTATTCTGAAAAATGTACACGAATCATGGAATAGACTTGTATTACGAAAAAAAACATAATAATTTACCTCCATAGTCTTCATCTTTGACCGCATTGTTGAGATGTTGTTGCCGATATTCGGCACGTAATGCGATAACCCTTTCGGAAAACTTCCGGAACGCTTCGACTTTGTCCCAACATTCGATGCAAATTATTTTTGGCAAAACGTCCGAGTCGTTGACCTTCAAAGATTTAGAGTTGTTTTCACCTGATTTTAGACAATTGTCGAAATGTACCGGTTTTATCGAGTTGAATGGCTTACCTCATCGTCAAAATACTGCTTCAGCGTGTCAACTATATTCGGTACCAGTACAGAGTTCTCGAATATATTGAAGTATTCTAGGACTTGTGTATAACACAAACGACACAGATCTCGTTCCTTCTTCACATCCATCACGTTATTTTTATTTGTTTATTCAGAATAAAACCACTCGATTTCAACTAAAACT